GACTGATCGCGTCTATCACGCGGGTCACAGGCTCGCGCAACGTCACCCCCGCCGTTCGTTCGCGCTCGATTCTGCTTCCGCCCATCACCGCGCCCGCCATGTCCAACACCATCGCGTTGTACGTGCGCATATTACCTACCAGCTCAAAATAGCCTATATTGGTCTGTTAACTCATCTTTGCGCCGTACAGATACCCGCTGTCGAACTTTACCTTCAGGTACGCATCTCTAGATGACCTTCCGTCCCCGGTTTACCTCGCCACACTCCATCTCCACCCCAAGTTCGCACAGTCAGCTAACGTACTTCATAGTACGAAGGAGACACAATCGGAAGAAGACCCGTCCGTGAGCGCACGGTTGCAGCGGCTACAGAACAACTATGAGGACTACGGCATGCGGCGTACAGTCGAGGGCGTTTTGGTTGTGCATGACCATGGACATCCGCATATCTTAATGTTGCAGATTGCAAACGCTTTCTTCAAGCTGTGCGTACCTGCTGTGCCGCTCTGCCCTTGGTCTTATGCCAAGTGGCGCTGTGGCGACTACTGTGGCGCTCTATGGGAAAGCGCGAACGCTGACCCGAGCTCTTCTCCAGGCCCGGAGACTACTTGAAGCCCGGAGAGGACGAGCTGGAAGGTTTGAAAGCTCGTCTGGACGACCGTCTTGCGCCACCGAGCTCAAGCGCCCAATTTGATGCCCGTCACGGGGTGGATAATGACTGGGAAATTGGCGACTGCTTGGCGCAGTGGTGGAGGCCGAACTTTGAGACGTTCATGGTGCGTTAATTGTTCGAAATTGAGAGTCTTCTAGTCGACAGGTACTGATTGTTTCCCACAGTACCCCTTCGTCCCGGCACATATCACGAAGCCGAAGGAGTGCAAGAAGTTGTTCCTCGTGCAGATGCCCGAACGGAGTACGTTCTCAACCCTACATCATCAGGGGGTATCTCAATTTTTGCGCAGAAGTTCTTGCTGTGCCGAAAAACATGAAGCTCCTGGCTATCCCATTGTTCGAGCTGTACGACAACGCTGCGCGGTACGGTCCTCAGCTGAGCGCCATCCCGCACTTACTCTCCCGGTAAGCCTTCACTTTCGGTGGAATTTACTGGGATGCTTACTGCCTCGTAGGTACAACTTCATCTACCAGTAGCCGATGTAGCTGGTATCATGTTTTCTTGCCAAATGCTGTCGAAAAACGTGCCCCGTCGCTCTCAGATGTATTAAGCGAGCGCCTCGAGCGCCGCCTTGCAACATTGTATTCGCTGTCTGTCCTGCAATCATGTCTTGTACCCTACATACGCGCACTCCTTCCGGAATCAGAGAGACAACCGCATGTTCATACAGTTCGAACCGCAGTTTCCGGATTCCGGGCCTAGAAAGAGTCCGTTCATTCAGCTGTGGCAACAGGAAGATCTCACTATGAAAGTTCTTTGACGTCCGGGCGTAAACCTAGCCCCGCCGTACACGTCTGGTGCGGACAGACGCCGCGGTCAGCTGGCTTGCGACGTAGCCGTGTCAAGTTTTTGCCCGTGAGTAACAGGAGCTGGTAGACTACACGCAAGGATCTCCCAGCGTATCAGCACCTTCGGGGTCGTGCACTTTGAGTGGCGAAAATGACGTCTGAATTGAACCTGATCGCGTTGATGCGCTGCGGGAGCCGGCGAGGTCGCCGGAGCCAAAGGCAAACCTCGACCCGCGCCGATGCCGCCTTTGGTATCTTCGACTTCTTATCGCGCTCTCATGCGGCGCCAATGATTGCCTCGGCCCTGCTTGACTCTGTACCGCCACCATCTACGCTGACGCGCCGGGAAAGGTAGTGACACTGAAGGGATGTCTGCCGACGCGCGCGATATTGAGTGGCAGGCGCGGCGCTCGCCGCAGCTTGAGTCGACGCCGCTTTCGAGGGCTGGGTGAGTGTACACTTGGAGCTGGCCGCGTATAACATGGCGCAGTGTATAAACGGGCGGGCTAACTAACTCAATGTGTGTGCTAGACTACTCGAGATCTCCCGGAGCCACAACTCGGGCGGCTATGCCGCGCAACATTCGCCACTGGCGGTACCTCATACGCAGGAAGATATCCGAGAGAGCACGATGCAGCTCTCATCCTTCGTGATGCAACATATGCAGACACCACCTTCACTCCTGGGTCCGAATAGCAATATTGGCTCTGACCCAACAAACGGACTTGTCTTCCCGCATGCGCCCTCACGCGCTTCATTGCGTTCTCAGACCGCTTCGGCAAAGTCTGCCTCTGGCGTCCATACGCCAAGTCTATCAAGTCTTGAACTTGACGCTTCTGTACCAAGTTTGGACGACACCTCTACGCCAGCCGACTCCGCACCCTCAGGCCTATCGCTACTACTTGCACGACACGCTTCACGCTCGCCACCGGATACCCGCAGTTTTGCCGATGTAGTGAGGGATGGACAGGGAGATGAAGATGGCGAGGGCGAGGACACGCCACATGTACGAAGTCCGGATACCGAGCACGGAAGTGCTGTACCGACACCGCGTCCGCCGCCTCGCGTGCCGAGCGGCCTGTACGAGGAGACGACGCCACATGCTATGGCTATGTCGCCTGCGTCTGTATCCACCATCGCCGAACACGAGCATGAGCATGAGGCGAGCGAGAGGACACCGTTGTTACCTGCAAGGTCGATGCCTGCATCTCATCCGCATTTACCGCTTGCGCCTGTGCCGAACGGGATGAATGGGCATGGGCTGGTTGGGAATGGACTTGGTGAGGATGGCGAGGGGATGGATGTGAAGGGTGGGAGGAGAGAGAAGTTGAAGGCGAGGGTTCAGCATGGGGCGAAGGAGGTTGGGAAGGATGCGGTTAGGGCTGTCCCAGCCGTCATATTGGGCACACTGCTGAATGTTCTGGACGGCGTGTCATGTACGTCCATCTGTGGCCCATTGTAGTGACCTGACACTAACGACGACATAGATGGCATGATCATCTTTCCTGCGTCGGGCGTCTTCGCAGACCTCGGCGCTATGGGCGTTACCATGTTCTTCGTGACGGCTATCGTCAGTCAGCTCATCTACAGCGCTGGCGCAAGTGGCTTCGCGGGCGTGAACGGAAGCATGATGATTGAAGTTGTCGTACGTGTGCTCTTCATCGTCAACCGGCGCAATTCGTGCTCAGATACCTTCACCAGCCATTCTTCCATATCCTCGCACAATCCATCGAAGACATCATCCTGGCCTCAGGCGGGCCACCAGAAGCAGTGATTGCCACAACACTCGTCGCATTCGCATTCTCTTCCCTTCTTACGGGTCTCACCTTCCTACTACTGGGCGTCTTCAAGCTCGGCAACCTTATCGGCTTCTTCCCGCGACATATCCTCGTCGGCTGTATAGGAGGCGTTGGCGTTTTCCTCTTTATCACAGGGTACGTACTCTCTTAGTGGGAGATTGGGGCCACAGATGTGTGGCAGCTAGCAGGGAAGATGCATCGGGGTGTGGTACCTCCCACACTGGGCATACTACTGCCGGTGTGGGATGTGGCCGCGGCCGAACCGGTAGCGGTACTACTCCCTTGAAATGTGGCAGCGCGATGCCCAATTTGGTCAACATACTGCCTTGCAACCTCAACGCGTCATTGCCTATCATTACGCTCACACGCCCACATAGACTAACAGTTTCCCTGCGCGTGTCGGACGACGTACCGCTGAACCTCGACTTCCTCAAGCTACTGTTCCAGGATGGCGCGTCGATTGCTCTGTGGATGCCCGCGCTTGGGCTTGCGATCTTGCTACGGGTCATCACGCATCATTGGCATGGGCAGCTTATCCTTCCGACTTGTGCGTCCATCGTTCTCGAGTGTAGAATAGTGCTGATACGGATGATCTACAGACTTCATTGTGATACCCGCCATCTTCTACGTCGTCGTTGCGGCTGCACACCTCGACCTTGGCACGCTGAGAAGAGATGGATGGCTGTTCGATGTTGCTGTCAGCAGCGAGCCATGGTACCACTTCTACTCGTACTTCGGTACGTCTCCGAACATGAGCCAGCGGTGAAGAACTGCACTGACACGCGCGTCCTCTCTCAGACTTCACACAGACACACTGGGGTGCGATTTGGGCTACGATGCCGACGCAACTAGCGCTGTACGCTCACTCGTCCCTCCATTTCCCGTTCACTCAAAGCTGAGGATCATGCATAGGCTCTTCTTCAACATCTTGCACCCGCCTCTGAACGTGCCAGCGCTCGCTGTATCACTTGATCATGATGTCGATACCAATGCGGAGCTCACGGCACACGGTTACTCGAACCTTGCAGCTGGTGTACTCGGTACACCGCCGAACTACATCGTCTACGTCAACACCTTGCTGTGGGTCTCCGCTCTCTCTAGCTTGGACCATGGAAAGACTGATGATCATCGCTTACAGCTTTTATAAGGTTGGCGGCGATACACGGGTCGCTGGGTTCATGCTTGCAGCCGCAACGACTGTGCTTCTTGTGGTCGGCACTGGCCCCATAGCGTACATCCGTGCGCCTTCTCTCCATCTTGCCCTGATACATATTGCTGAACGCGCTCACAGCGGTGATGGTTGTCGGCGCGCTGATCTTCGTTCTCGGGTTTGATCTGGCGAAGGAAGCGCTCTGGGATACTCGTGGACGCGTGAGCAAGAGCGAATACGCGACGATTGTGTCTATTGTCATTGCAATGACTGTATGGGACTTCGTCATCGGTGTACTCTTCGGTATCGTCATAAGCTGTGCGTATACTCACCCCTCAGCGAGTCTGTAGTACTAATTCCCACGCCCCACCAGGTTTCTTCTTCGTTGTACAGCATTCCCGCCGACGCTCGATCCGCGCAATCCATACCGGCACGGCAGTGCTCTCAACCGTCCGCCGCCCATCAGCGCATCGTGCCTACCTTCGAGCAGCCTCTTCACAGACGACCGTCCTCCGCCTACAAGGCTTCCTCTTCTTCGGCACCATCGCAGGCGTGGAAGATGCGTTACGCTCTCTCTCTCACGCGCGCTTTGCTGTGCTCGATTTGACACTCGTGGGCGGTGTCGATCTATCAGCGGCCGAAGCGCTCGTGCGTGTACACCGCTTCCTCAAGAACGCCGGAGTGGTACTCGTCCTCTGCGGGCTGAACAACGCGGACGTCCGGCGCGCACTCGAGAGCGTCGGCCTCTTCGAAGCCGGAGCCGAACTATTCGATACACTCGGCGACGCGATAGAGTGGACCGAGAACGTCTACCTACGCGCCTGGTTCGCAAGACAGAAAGCAGAGGGCGTACACGTCGAAGCCCACGCAGCCGTAAGCGCACGGGAGAACGGCGCTCATGTTGACTTTGGGCTTGCGGGGAGTCCGAGGGCCGAAGCGCTCGGCGATGCGGGGCGCAGGACGATCGCATTAGGATTGTCGAATGCGCATTACCCGGTTGAAGCGCCGGTGGAGGTTGATGCGCATGCGGAGCTGTTCGTTACGCTTGCTCAGGCGTTGTCGGAGCATGGTGCACTTGACCGAGCGCGGTTTGCTGCGTTGCCGAGGTACTTCACAAGACATGCTTTGCCTACGGGACACACGTTGTTCGAACAAGGGGACGCCGCGGATGCGCTGTATGTCGTACAGGCGGGAGTCTTGAGAGCGACATACGCATTTGCGGCTCCTACCACTCCCGTCGTGGAGAGTATGGTACCCGGAACGTTGGCGGGAGAGCTAAGCGCGCTGTGTGGTGGAGAGAGGAACGCGAGCGTTGTCGTTGAGCGCGATGCGGTGGTGTGGAGGTTGGGTGTCAACGAACTCAGGAGGATGGAAGCGGAGGAGCATGAGATGGCGAGCGAGTTCATAAGGCTCGTATTGAGTGGTACGCATTTTGATTGTCTTCAGGATTGGTGGATCGGTGCTGATTGTGGTTACAGCTGCGAAGACGGACTACGATGTGCTTCTTGCGGCGCTTGCTACGCGGATGTAGGGGCGATGATTTGACGTCCCGATACCCACTACCTGTAATCCTTGCACATAGCTCTTGCCTTTACGCCATCGACCTGTGGATATACTACATGTCATGTTTGACCACGTTTCTTGGCTGGATTTCGTTTATTAGGCGCTTGAATTTCCTGCGTGACAAACGCGAACAGTCACCTCATCACAAATCTCGTAACGCGTCGTCGGGTCCAATCTCTGTTTGAGATCCGACCACCATGATGGATTCTGGTTCAGTCGCTTATACAAGCATATCAACGGCGCTGTGCATGCTGTGAGAATGCGAACTGTGGCAGGGTGCTGCAGCGTGGGTCTCTGGTCGCATTGCACCGCAACGAATCCATCCACGTCTCCCGAGTTTCCTCAAGCGTTCACCTGTATCCATTTCGAGTATACAACTTGCCCCATTTATCCCACGCTGTGCACAGCTTATGCCGATTTCATGCGTCCAGTGACGTGCTGCTGCTGCTCACCCCTCCTATACATACAGCCAGCCAGCTTTCGGGCTTACAAGTCTACTCTCAATCCACCTCACCCGATCCTCTCCACGACACGACCAGAAGCGGGGGATGTCTCAGGCGAACGTAGCCATAAAAACGAAACTCGTAAATGATAGGATGCCGGATGGATACTCGAGGGTGTTCTCCGAGGTGCGTGGTACTGTTTCAGTCGCGCTACGCTTGGGTGCTGATGAGTCTTTTGAAAGAGGACGCATCATTCGCTTTCAACGCCTTCGTTGCCGGATTTACTGGTAGCTGAGTTCACTGAACCTTGAACACTTTATCCAGTTGGCGCTGACGTATAACGCTGCCGATCCTCCAGGGAGGGTCTGAGGACGACCCGCATCATCTCGCTACCACTGCGTACAACCTGCTTCAGCAATACAACTACGGCAAAAATATCGATGATCTCCGAAACTCTATCATGCTTTTCCGTCGCACAATCCAGCTTTCATCAGAGAGTCCCCCTGACCAGCTGCGATGGCTGGACACCGTTGGTGACTGCCTACTACGCTTGTTCAAGCGCTCGGGCAGCGCACTCGATCTTGATGACTCAATAAACGCCTACCAGAGAGCGGCGCATCTGTCACAACAGGACTCAGCGCTTCCTAAGCGGCTCGGGAACCTTGCGCTCTCGTTGAGGACCCGATTCGACCGGTCTCATAACCCTGCCGATCTTGATGAAGCTCTGAATGCTCATCGTCGCGCGGTCGATCTCCCCCTAGTAGTAGCAGCAGCCTTCCAAGGCGACTAGACCATCTCGCAGCGACGTCTGGGGCGCGTTTCAATCGCTTCGGTGACCTCAACGATCTAGATTCTGCTCTTGATGCACACCGTCGCGCGGTACATCTTACACCTAGTGACGACGTCCATCTTCCGCAAAGGCTGAGCAGCCTTGCAACGGCCTACAGAACTCGATTCGATCGACGTGGAAATGTGCGCGACCTTGACAACGCTATAGATGGGTATCGGCAAGCCCTCGCTGTCACGTCGGATACGAGCCCAGACCTTATACGACGACTAGATTGTCTCGCGCATTCGTTGAGCGATCTATACGCCCACACCGAAGAGCCATCGGCTCTCGATAGTTGTTTAAACGTGCACCGCCGCGCTATTGAGCTTACGTCTGTTGACGATCCTCAACTTCCACGACGACTAGGCAATATCGCGGTCTGCTTGAACAGCCGATATGATCGCTATGGAGAAGCTA